TTTTTGCCCAACTCCTGTAATAGAACATTGTATTGGAGTTGTACTTATATTTAATTTTTTAGACATTTCCTCAGAGATAAAACTTGACTCACTACCGCTATCAAGCAATATACGACAAGACAATACATTTCCACGATTATCAAATATGTCTACCAGGGCAGTTGACAATAAGACAATGCTTGGAGAATCATTACCTGCAATTAAACAATTTGCGCTAATTTCAGGAGAATCGGAAGTTTCAGTAGAATTGTTAGCATTAGGATTGAAATTAGGATTGTCTTGCGATGCATTTCTACTAGATGAATTATGATTATTCGACTTAGAATTATGATGGTTATGTTGATTATTGAAACCAAAGTGTAACAAAGTATTATGTTTATTGTTGCATTTTCTGCAGTGCATAGAACGACACTGGTTAATTGAATGATTATTTCGCAAACAATTGATACAAAGTTTCAATTTTTTGACTTCAGCTAGCCTAGAATTTGGACTTAGCGCGATAAAGGATTTGCAGTTATAAATAGTATGATCTTTATTGCAAAAATAACAAGTTGGAGAATTACTTGAAAATAAGCTTCTTACATTTTGTTTTACCTTATTGCCTTGAATATTTAAAGTTTCAAGAATTCTGCATTTTTCGGACAGAAAATTGCAGAATATTTCTCGCGTTACTGTGTCATGTTTGGCATATTCACACTCCCATTCACGACGAGTTATTGAATCCAGTTTTGTGGAAAATAAATGAATTAGTAATGCATCCCAAGAATCTACAGGTTCTCCTAGAACTTGTAAGGCTCTTAAATGCCGATTCATGTCATCTAGAATGTTTCTTAATTCTAGATGGCATTCTTTTGTAGCAGGTTTTGTCTCAAATAAAGCCTTTATATGATTTTTCTTCAATAAAGGTTTATTTTCATAACGTTGAATAAGTAGATTCCATGCTACAATATAATTGTTTGCTGAGACTTCAAGCGATTTTAATAAATCCGCTGCTTGAGCCTTTAACGATAAGCGCAAGTAATGGAATTTATTAATATCAGGTATAGATTTGTTATTATGAATTAACGATTGAAAAGTGTCTTTAAAGAATAAAAATTGATCGAATTTTCCATCGAAAGATGGTAAAGATATAGAAGGTAACTTAACGTGTTGTGTTGCTGCATTTGAAATATTAGAATTGCTAGAGATTGATGTATTATCTACATTTTGATCGCCAGAGTTATTTAAAATTGCTTGACCTATAGAAACGACACTATAATAACTGTCTTCGAACTCTAGACGTTCGTTTTGATTTACTGTATCATTACTGTCTTCTAAACATTCTATTTGAGTTTGAATATCATCAAAGGCTTGAAATAGAGGTTCAATTTTTGATAATCTAACTGCAAGTTGAGTAAAGTCAGGATTATTTTTTGATTTTTCTTTATCTAAGTAATTTTTAAATTTTGTTATCTGAGATTTATAATTTCCACGAGCGATATGAAGCTTTTTAAGTTCAGAAGAAAGCACCTCGTTTGGCATTTTGAATGATTAATAGTGTTCTATTTTGTTAAATTGTAAATCTACCTTAATATTAGTGAAATGTACAATAGAAAAACAGCTAGAATGAGGAAATGAAAGAAATAAGGTTTAAAAATAGTTCAAATGCTAGTGTTATATTATAACAAATATAACGAAATGGTTAAAATGTAAGATATGACGCAATATGTAATATGTATTAAATATGTGCATAAAATAATTCAATGAATGTAACGTAAATTCAGCAAAAATATGTTTATTTTATTGTATAAAATTGATTCGAGTCTTTTAAGAATGAATTAAATAATAAAATCAAGTCGAAACAAGGATAAAATCATAGGAGTAGGTAAATGAAACGCTAATTACTGACCTTTGACTCTTGTTCGGTTGATCTGCATCTAATCGTCGAAAAATGCCGGCATGGAATTGTCTGCATGCGGTAGAACTTTTTCGGTTTCCAATTTACACGATAACTTATAATTGCACTAGTTATCATCCGCTCTATGAAGGACCAAACTATTATGTATGAATTATTATACATATAATTGTTATTCCAAAACTTTAATTGAAAAGATAAAACGTTATAAAGTATAAAAACTGAATTTACAATATGCACTGAAAATGAATACAAGTCTTTATTTCAACGTGAATAAATCTCGAATGCTGAAACTAGTTGTCGGTCGAAGGTCAACGTCGTAGGCCAAACACACGGTGGCTCCACGGGGGCGGAGGGGTTACCGGTTCCATGATGTGTGCGACAACTGTTATACAGGGGTCGATCAACAGTTAAACAAAGACAGTTAAGCTATCTACTGCAGCACTCCAGAATATTACTCCATATCGCATAACAGAATAAAAGTTTGCATAATATACTGATAGTAAAATGCCCTCTTTAGTAGATGCTTTATTTTCTTTACAGTTTCTGGCGCTGCATTTGCCATAAATTGATTTATTTCGTTAGAAATCACCCGAGGGTCACCCTCCAAACAAAATTACCTTGGTTTTTGGAATTACCCTTAATCTCTTTTATCAATTGCCAAGCCATTTTAGTTTTATTTTCGCTATTTTCAATTCGTTCTTTATAATTTTTTCGAGATTGAGTGAGTAAAGAATTGTATTTGCGTTTTTCTGTCCTGTAAATATCGTTATAATCAACATTATTGGTAGACAGTGTATACAAAACATTAAGCGTAGATTTACAATGTTTTATATCATTATTTTTAAAGTACATTTGTGATTTTTTTTATTTGCTGTATTTATCTCTTTGAGTGGAAAACATTGTATAAAAATTTTCTGAATTATATTCATAAGAGCATCCAAATGATTATCTACCTCTAATGTCTCAAAAACAGATACCCAGTCTACATTACCTAACATGAATTTAAAAAAATGTTTATTCTACTTGCTAAATATTCGTTTTTATATTATATTTGACTCAAATTGATTAAATTCAAATTTTACCTTTTGAGCAGTATGATCAGATGTATGAGGCTTTAATACAAGACTATCAAATATGTCAAGATTTGTAAAAATATTATCTATACATGATTTTTTGTTACCTTGTATGCGTGTATAGTCTTTGATGGAAGGTCAAAGGAGCTCAAAAATATTTTTAATGTGTCTGGCCACCTCGCATCCCAAGCAGCATATCTAAGTTAAAATCATAGGCCAGAAAATATGGAGTCCTTAACTAAATCACAAAGTATTTGGTCTAATTTGTTTATTAAAACTTGTGGGTCTTTTGTTCGGTAGATGGATAGGATTACAATCTTCTTATTAATTCGCACCTCTGCAGCAAGAACACCGTTCTGTCTGATAAACTAGAAATATCTTCCCGGGATGTTGCAATAAACGTGTCCTTGATGTATACCGCACTGCCATCATGCTCCTGTGAACTTCTTCTTTTGGCATTATAACCCTGGATGGGTCTTTGCCTGTTTGGCTATGTCCTTCCATTCAGTTCTTTCTTGGGCCCTTCTCCATTGTCTTATATTCATGGTTTTCAAGTCATCTTCCACGTCATCCAACCATCTTGTCCTGGGCCTTCCTACCGCCTTCTACTGTAACATCTTTGTCGTTTTCATGTCTTCTTGTCGCTGAACATGTCGCAGCCATGACAGTCTTTGACTTTTTCACAAATCTTATAATTTCATACCTTTCATTTAGTTCATTAACCTCGTCGTTACTCCTGATTCTACATGTGCCGTCTTCCTCTTGCACAGGGCGATATACTTTTCGCAGTACGGAATTCTCCTGATTGATTTCTGTGCCCAGATATGTGAAGGCATCCGCACGTTCAATAGTATAGTTGTCTATTGCTATATTATTTTCATTCTCAGGTGTTCTTTTGATGGTCATGTACCTAGTTTTTGTTTCGTTTATTTTAAACCCTTTTTTTGTGCGTCAGTATCAATTTCCTTGAACATTTCCATCAGTCGTGTCTTGCTTCTACTAATAATGGCGACATGCTCGTGTGAACTATACAATATGTGTGGACTTCTACAATATGAAGAGATCAGTTTAAAATTCCGCACATTGTAGTCCTGCAGTTGTTCTTCTGTTTTCCAGTGCTTAAACAAAGAGCAAAGTATTCATGATGATCATCTAGGATGAAATTAATGGCATCAGTACTTGCTTTAATTAATTGCGTATTTAAGTGGATTACTGATCATTTCTTTTGATGTGTGCCGTAGATTGTCTTTTGACACTAGGGTGCCTCTGTACATTCTGAAAATGGTTAAAAATTACAACGTTCGGACATAATTCTTGCTGCATTAAATGAGGTATTTTTAGTTCTGGAACAGTAATTTTAAATGAACTTTTGTACTTATCTGTCCTGGTTTTTATTTTTTCGCAGATAACGTTTTCATCCAGTTTTGTCATCTGCGATCTAGTGTTTCGCAGTTCTGCAAGATATAGTTAACTGTTTCTGGCCATCTTCCATAGTCTGCAGCTTAAGCCTCTATGAAACAATCACATTATATGCAGGCACCCCTTGATTGGTGCATGTTGAGTAAGAAAGCCTGTTATGACTCTGGGCTGAGTCCTGCCTGTTCTTGGCAGTCCTTTAGCCTTATTAGCATATTTCGAAGCATTTTGTAGCTGAAGTAAACCTGGAATCCATCCAAGACCAAATTCCACAAAAGAGGAAAGACATTTTAGAAGAGGAAAATCCAATGGATTTCTTGGAATCATTCCTTTTGGAAAATTCCACAATGGCTTTTTGGGAGCTATATTCTAGAGCTTTTCTAGATTCTTCATTACAAATATTAGACTTATCCGCCTTAAGGACCAGGTTTTGCCAGGTTTAGGTACAAAATCCACCCTTATGAGCTCGAGTAGCTTTAGTATCATATTAATTTTCTATACAGGTCATTTTTGTTCTATAGATTTTTTGTATAAATGCCGTCCGGACTTGGTAATTTTAATTTTTTATTTTTTAATCAATAATTTTAATTAAAAAATTAATTTAATTTTTTTAGTTAAAGAGTGATCCATACAACGCCGAAGCAAATGAACTTATGCTACGAATAGACCCTACCAAAGAGAAGAAACGTAGTGCAGAGTACTACTATGGCCGCGATGACTACGTTTCAGCCATTCATTACCTTACCGAAGTCTTGGAAGTTAGTCCGTGGGCCTCAGATCTCTACGAATTCCGTTCAGAACTACACATGCTAAACGGAGATGAAGTCGCAGCTATATCCGACATCAGATCAGCTACGAAACTTCAGAGTGATAACACAGATGGTTTCTTCAAACTTTCTAAACTTTTATACAAAGCTGGACAGGCTACCGAAGCGTTGAAAGCAATCAGAGAATGCTTGAAGCTGGATCCAGAGCACAAAGACTGTTTTCCATTTTATAAGAAAATTAAAAAAGTAGAGAAGTTTTTAACAGACGCCGAATCTTCATTAGAAAATAAAGAATACGCACAATGTATAGAATCAGCCAACAAAGCCTTGAAAAACGAAAAAGACGTACCGAGCATCATTTACGAAGGCAAAAGGCTACTTTGCGCATGCTACTCTCGTGACGAACAGGATTCCGAAGCCATAACGTTCTGCACGGAAGCCTTAGCCTACAATGATGATCCCAACGTTTACTGTGATAGAGCGGAAGCTTATTTGAACTCTGAGCTTTACGATGACGCCATTAGAGACTATAGATCAGCGCTAGAGGTCGACTCACACTTTGAGAGGGCCAAAGAAGGGCTCAACAAAGCCGAGAATAGACAAAAACAAGCAGAGAAGAGGGATTATTACAAGATATTGGAAGTCAAGAGGACGGCGAGCAAAAAAGAAATTATCAAAGCTTACAGGAAAATGGCACAAAAATGGCATCCGGATAATTATCAATTGGACGAGAAAATGAAGAAGATCGCCGAAAAGAAATTCATCGATATTGCAGCTGCTAAAGAAGTAAGTTTTCCATTGTTTTTTTAGTGTCATATATTCACCAATGTGTTCATTTTCTTTTTTTATACTTTTGCGATCAGTACCATCTCAAACATATCACATTTTCAGTTAAACTGTGACATTGCTTGTTTTTGGAATGGAAACGTTGAAGGTACTCCATATCACACCATTAATGTATTCACTAGCTCGAATACTGCCGGAAACATCAACGCTGTCGACAAAATTATGCAATTTGGAAATTGAGAACGAAATTCGTTGATCCCTTGTTAACTTCTGTGTCTCGGTAGACGCAAATGCAGACTTATAATACCTAGGTCACCATTCTGTAAAATTTATAATACTTTCCCTTTTATTTCACAGACCTTGAATAGGTTTTGGGCACTGCGGTATACTTATGGATGTCATAATCTCTGTCAAATTTTCTGAGGTTTGTTTTAATAACAACAAAAACACGGTCACAGGGAAGAAATTAGTGTCTTCGAAGTGGGAAAAATTGTTGAATTTTTTTAAATCTGCCTGTATCGCTTAAACCCAAACATATTCTTGTAACGCTGTGGTTTTTGTTTTGATCTGGGCAGTTGTCAGAAAACAGGCGCAGTTCTTTTACATCTGTTCCAATATATTTTTCAATATAATCTAATAGAAAGCTGCTGACTTCATTCGGGCTTTTTCGTGCTTCTGCCTTGTGGTAAATGTAAAGAACGGATTTTCGTGACTTAATATTGGTGATGAAAAAACATTAACTGTAAGCTTCGACAGATAAAATAGGTCTTTACAGGAATTGCAGGAAGTTAAAGGTTCTGCATAAAATCGAAGGCGATTGCTTCTATATCATCTCTTTGAATGCATTCCTAAACTTGATCATGTAGGGCAGTGTAAAATTCCTTACTTCGGCGGCAGTGTACCACTTTTTCGACAATCGCTACTTATTTTGCTTCTTCAACAAATGCTGTATTTTACTGTACTCTCAGGATACTCTTTAATGAATAATTCGTGCATTATTTTTATATTAGGTTTCGCGTCTAAGTACTTAAATTCCTTACCAGAGTAATGAGACCCTTTGACTGGAAATGTAGTTATGTGGCTACAGATAAGTTCCCTGGTTCTAGCATCAATAATGCTCCCTTTTATATTTTTCTTCCTTTTATCTCTAGGTATCACACCACATACCAAAAGTCTTTTTAGCCTTTCTCTTCCAATGGCGTGAATACTTAAAAAGCACTTTCGCATATCTTTTTTTTTTTTAGTCTGATCAACATTAACAAAGAGCTTGTAACTTCTTGTCCTATCTTTACCTCCTTCATTACGTTTTCTTATTCTAGACACTTCCATTACTTCTATTAATCCTTGTAGATATATATATCGTTTTCGTTTTTTGTTGTTATATCGTAAAAGTTACCAAAAATAAAGTTCCTTTGATCTCCGTTCTTCTTCTTCTTCATGTACCATGTCCTTTCAGAACGTTGGTTACCATCATAGCTATTTTAATTTTATTCACTGCCACCCTAAATAGCATGCTTGTATCTACACCATACCAGTCTCGCAAGTTCTTCAACCATGAGGTTCTTCTTCGTCCTGGACTGCGTTTGCCTGCTATTTTTCCTTGCATGATGTTTTGTAGCAATCTATATTTGGGACCTCTCATTACATGTCCGAAATATTCCAGCTTTCTCTGCTTGATGCTTTTTATGATCTCAGTAGTCTTGCTGAGACGTTCTAGTATTGTGGAGTTACGAATCTTCTCCACCCAGGAAACTTTTAAAATTCTTCTATAGCACCACATTTCGAAAGCCTCAAGGCGATTTAGATCGATTTTATTCACAGTCCAGGACTCGACAGCATAAAGTAAGACCGAGAACACGTAGCAGCGAAGTAGGCGGATCCTTAATGCCAATTTTAGGTCTCTGTTACATAACACCTTGGACATCCTTCTAAAAGCAGCTCTAGCCTGCTCTATTCTGGATCTAATTTCGCCGTGATTTTCTGCATTACAATTTAATTGCTGTCCAAGGTAGACGATTTTATCAACTTGCTCAAGTTTGATATTATTTACATATATAGACGGTTTTATATTCTGTTGTTTACTTATTACGACTATTTTGGTTTTCCTTATGTTAAGATCCAGACCTGCCTCCCTACAACTCTCAACGACACTATCAAGTAGTGTTTGCAGATCTTCTTGACTAGAAGCTAGGAGTACTGTATCGTCCGCATATCGCAAATTATTGATGACTTCGCCGTTCACAAGTATTCCTTCTTGTTTTTCAGAAAGTGCTTTTCTGAAAATTCTTTCGGAGTAAACTTTAAAAAGCAGGGGTGACAAGAGGCATCCCTGCCGTACTCCTCTTTTAATATTGAGAGCTTGTGATTCCACACCATCTACTAAAACTGATGTTGTTTGATTCCAATATAAATTTGCAATTATTCGAACATCTCTGCCGTCCAAGCCAATGTCTTTTAGAGCTTCGATCAATATAGAGTGCTTAACACGATCAAATGCCTTTTGAAAGTCAATAAAACAACAGTATATGTCTACAGATATATCACGACATCTTTGAGCAAGTACGTTCATTCCAAACAGTGCCTCTCTCGTTCCAAATCCGTTACGGAAACCAAACTGAGTGTCATTCAGGTATTCCTCACATTTATTGTAGATACGACCATGTATTACCTTCAGAAAAATTTTCAATAAGTGGTTTAACAAACTGATGGTTCTATAATCAGCACAGGTTTTTGCTGTTGTCTTCTTAGGTAGAGCTATAAACAGTGAGTTAGACCAACCATTAGGTAGTTGTCCGCTGGTATAAATGGTATTGAAAAACAAAGTTATAGCCTCTAAAACATTGCTATCCTTTATAAGCTTATATATTTCAGTTGGAATTTCATCAGGACCAGTCGCTCTGCCATCTTTTGATGATTGTATGGCCTTTGTAACCTCACAGCGTGTTATTAGGGGTCCGTCGCAGTTAGTAATATCGGGAGGTGAACTACTCCTATCGTCTTCGAATAGGTTCGTGTCGTAATTTTCCCATTCTTTAAGTTTGTCCTCTACTTCGAATATTACTTTACCATTTTCATCCTGTAGCAATGCATTTTGTTTCTTATTGAAGATACCAGCCGCTTCTTTTACTTTTTTATACATGTTAAACGTGTCGTATCTTTTTTCGAGTTCTTCAATGTCATGACACTGTTTGGCTAGATGTTGACTCTTTGCTTCTCGTATTTTACGTCGAATTTCTTTTTGTATGCTATTGTAAAGTGTTTCGTTGGTTTTTGCTAGTCGCCGTTGTTCCATCAAATCCAGTATATCATCTGTCATCCAAGCCTGCTTTTTTTTTTTTCGTTCTCCGAATCTCCGTTCACTTTTTCAAAACATTTGAGTAGACACCTAAAAAATGTATTTTACAAACTCAAAAATATTATATTGTTATTGTCTACTTGCACTGAGGTCCTATTTGCTTTGCTTCCATGGCCTTATTTTTGTAGCCAATACATGTTTGCCCTTTAACTCTAGAGTTTCTGATAACATTACGCTGATATTCATCCGATTTCCTAATTCCCTTACGCCTTTTAGTAGCAGACTCTCGATCCTTAGCGTTTTCAGCACTAACAATTGGTTGATCGTTGTTCATAATAATATTATAAATATAAACGTTTTTCTTTCAATATACAGACAACTTTTTGTAAGCAGCAATAAGAACAAACAATAGAAATACTATAAATTTTATAGGTTATGGTAAACGTCGATATGCAAAATGACAACTGACAATTTAGTGCAGAAACAACCTTAGTCCGGGACTAAGGTGGTTTCAGAAATATATGAATATTTTAAATCGATATAAAATCAACTATGCTTACGGGACTTAGTTGTATTCTGCATTAAATTGTGTGCAACTCACAGAAATACGTTGGTGTTATAAACTCAAAATCGCCAAAAGGTAACTAAGGTTGTTTCTGAAATAAGCGATTCAATGATTCTTTTTGGTCATATACTATCTGATTAGTTTTTTAAAAATTACCAATCACTTATCTTAAAGGTCTTGTCATTTCAAAACAATTTTGACTTTCTTCTGTTAACAGTTGGTTGTTACCTCTCAGGGTGAATTTCCCTTTTTAATTTATGAGATTCTTCATACCTGCACATCTCGTCTTGTTTTTATAATTGGATATTTAGAATTACAAGTGTTATGCATTTATTTAAAGTGAATATTTCTTCTAGGTACTAACAGACGAAGAAAAGCGACGGCAGTTCGACAACGGCGAAGATCCCCTGGATCCGGAATCGGGTAAAAGTCACATGCCAAACTTCCATCACTTCCAAAGTTTCCACGGTAGTCCGTTCCAATTTAAATTCCACTTCAATTGAGACGATACAACTCTCTAGTGACAATTTTTTATTTAATTTGGGCATTACGTCCGACACTTTGTAAATATTGTGTGATATGTGCAATTTAGGTCTATTTTTCGTACCAAGAAAATTACGTTTTTTGTTTATAGACGTAAATTGTTAGGTGTATAATATTTATTTATGTTTGTTGTCCGCAAACGGGTAGTAACTGTGAGGATTGTGCTGAAATACTAGCAGGAACTGGTAGAAGCGGTCAAAAATGTGTGCCATTTAGGTTGGCAGTTGCACGATCTAAAGTCTAAAGTAACTTTTAAAATCTGAAAAAATTCTTCATACCAAATTGTTTTGGTGCCATACGCTGTTTTGGACATTCGCTACTTCCGTATGTCTTCTTGTATTGATTATCATTTAGTGTACCTGAATAAATGAGTTTTTAAGTTAATTTTGAAGCATTATATGCCTATGATTTAATAAAAACAAATTCAAAAATACTTTTTGTTGTTTAAAAAACCTCGAAAGTACAGATTTTAAGAGATCTTATATCCCCAGCTTGTTGCCGCTCACCGTGACTTCAGTTTGCAGTTATGAAAAACGCATTGTAATATGATGCATAAGCGTAATAACCTTTTTTTATTCACACGGGTATGCACAATGGGCATATATATGGCGATACATGCTTGATGCTTGCTCAGTTTGGACGGAAATATGCTCTCCACATTCAATTATGTAATATTTTTTATTATCCGGAAATTACTTTATCACTTGTATTCAAAGTCACACAAACTGATTGTTCTTCCATTATTTATTAATAAAAATGATTATTGCTTATATTAATATATGAACCAATAGTCATAATAATATTGGTATATCAATACATAGCACAATACAGATGATAAACTGTTAACTATTCTAAAAAAAATCTTAGTAGTGCGCTTGCTGTAACTTGTGTTGTCCTAGAACTGCAGTAGAATTCAACTCAGCCGATGGACGATCTAAAATATATTCATATAAATGGAAAAAATTTCATTTGGCAACCACTGTATACATCTATAAATCAATAGCCTCAATAGTGTGCTAAAACCTGGTTATTTAGAACATTTAAACAGTATTTTGACATAAAAATATTTTATAATTTAACTAATAATTGATATATTTATTTAGTTCTCAACAAAGTTTCCTTTTAGCTCGATCCGCTTTACCCATCGATGCTTAAACTTCTTTAAACCGTCTGAAAATAGCTTTTTTCGGAGTCTGCAAAGTAGTTCCCTGTGGTGGCGATACACGTCCTAATTCGTCTCAGATTTACGTAGGATATGTGACTTTTTAAGTTTGGAATCAAAAAGAAGTCGCTCGGGGCCAAATCTGGAGAATACGGTGGATGAGACAGCAATTTGTAGCCTAATTTGGCTGTGGCGATGGCGGATATGAGTCGGTGCGTTGTCATGGTGGATGAGTACTTTTTTCTTCGTTAAATGGGTCGTTTTTCTGAAATTCCAAAAATTTGGCATAGTAGAGCCCTGTGACCGTTTTGCCCTTCTGAAGGTAGCCGACGTAGATCACATCTGCGAACCTCAGAAAAAGGTGCTCATCACTTTTGCAATCAATAGGACAGTTTTCGACTTCTTCGGAGAACTCTCTTCTGGTAAAGTCCACTACTTAGACTGTTTCTTGGTCTTTTGTGTACAGTGGATTCATCTTTCGTCGACGATCATGAAACAATGAAAAAACTCCTTCGAATTGCGCTTAAATAGCGTCAAATACTACTGTGAAGTGGTCTTATGGTTGTGCTTGTTGTTGACAGCTTTGTAATGTCCAAAATTTCATGCAGGATATAACACACGCGGTCTTTTGAGATACCTACTGTCTTAGCTATCTCGAGATCGTAGATTTTTATCACATTATCTTCCATTGTAGCAATTTTTGAAGCTGTTTTCATGGTAGGTAATAGAGTTGCAGAAAAACGATAATTTTAAACTTGTAGCTAGACCAGACTATGTTTCAGGGAATTACGGTTGTGGCAGGACTGTGACAGCAATCTCTATAGCTTTCTTACACTTAACCCCTTAATAGGATATCTCCAGATAGTTTAACGATCATCGTTTGAGCGAGCTACGCTTTAACCAGACATTATTTAAACTTAGCTGGTAGTTTTAAACAGTCGAAACTCGATCTACGATTTTTAATTTGAGTAATACGATAAGAAATGTATTCTCATGGCAATATGGTTTGTCGTAGCTAAAACTTGACGGAAATTGACTAAAACGGAAATATATGTTATAGGAATTTAACTAAACAACATTTAAACGTCAATGAGTATTAAAGAAAAGTATAAAATGCGGAGGATTATAAAAAATGATACCGGAAATACATATTTCAAGATTGTTAATGAACTCAATATGTAGTAGACCTTGATGGTGTTTTATATTTGAACGAAACAATTTTTAACTTTTGCTTATTTGGCCCTGATTAACTTTTTTTGCTAATTCTAGCTTTTACAATTCTCTCGCAACAAAAGATGGAGACAGAAATACAAAAACCTGATGAGAGAAAATGTTTTACTTTTTATTCCGAGAAAACTAGAAAAACACATTTACTCGTAAACTATGATAGCCAAAGCAATTTTGCTCCTTTCTTAAAATTTTCTAATTATTACCTTCAATGATTATCTTACTCCAAACCATTTATAATTCACCTTTAAGATATTCTATACTTAATGTCTTAAAATATATATCTTTAAAAATAAAAAAATGCATGTCTTTAGAGCTTTATAGAGTTGTTATTTAGGCGTATTCATGCTGTTTTATATTATAACAACCAAACCGTAATTATACATTAGACTTTCCACACATCTGCACATTTTCAGCATGATCCTCATGCTTCAGAATTCGCTTACCCATTGTAAGAACACGCTCACTAATAGTGCCGTTTTTGTTTTACAAAAATTCGAACTTGCCATTAATTGTAAGAATATGGTGCATGTAAATAGCAAAGCAAAGAAAATTACTTAATATTTTCTAAGGAAAATTTGATCTTTTTGTTCAATAAGTAATACTAATTAAGTTGGCAGTACTTTTCCATTTCTTTCTATCCTAAGCATAGATATGTATACAGAGTGGCCCAAAAGTTTGGAAACGGCCAATTATCTCGTAAATTGCTAGTCATAATTTTATCAAATTTGAGGTACACATATTTTGGGATACGGAGATTTCATATTTGATATTGTTCTGAAGCTATTTTCTTGTGGCATTTTAAATTAATTACTATTTAACTGGGAATAAGCCACAATTAAAGGTAAAAATACGTTTATTGACGTTTCAGTTTCCTCTTCGGAAATCGTTATTATTATTGTTATTAAATATTATTCCCAGTTAAATAGTAATTAATTCATATTTGATATTTGCAATATTTCCAGATTTGCCGTTTCTCCAAGCTGGCAACATTGCAAATATCAAATATGGAATCTCCGTATCCCAAAATAGGTGTACCCCAAATTTTGTAAAATTATGACTAGCAATTTACGAGATTATTGCTCGTTTCGACTTTTGGGCCACTCTGTATATTGACATAAACCGAGCAGTCTGTAGAGCTTAGTGACGACACCATCTTTGTTGTACTTGTTAGTTGTGTCTCTATATTACGTCAAGTATAGCCATGTTTCTTTTTGTTTGGGAGAGAGCAAGTGCAAGATTTAGTGCGCTAGAGAGAGGGAGACAGATCGAACAACCGCAAAAGATATTGTCGTCACTACTCGTTTCTCTCATGCTCAGTCTATGTTAATATATATATATATATATATATATATATATATATATATATATATATATATATATATATATATATATACAGTCAAAATCGTTTACAACGACACCGGCTATAACGTACAATCGGATATAACAAACAAAATAGTAGGTCCCATAAAATGACATACAAAAATCGCATTTATATTGCTTATAATGAACAAATCGGTTAGAGCAAACGTATTTCTTGGAACACTAGTAGTTAAAATATTGGTTACAGCGTACATCTTAATAAATAAGTTTAAAAGTGCTATCCTGTAAAGTTATGAAAATGGACATTGTAGTGTTGTATTTCTCACAGGTATTACCGATATTTAATACCACGAAATGAGAAGTAAGGATTTATTAATTTATGGTTATAGTACATCCGGACAGGCATCTACTGTCGTTTAGACACTTAGACCTCCCAAGACGGGTCCATTGTATTACAAAATTTTGTTTATACATATTTCACCATTTGGCCTAAGCCAAGAGTTTCTGAATTTGAATTCAGTTGTGTCTAGCCTTCATTGAAAAAATGTCACGGAAACAATTTACTATTGAGGAACAGTTTGGAATAATTTGCCGAGTCGATTCCGGTGATTCCGCGAGTTCGATTGCCCGGGAATTTAAAACGTCACGCCCGACAATTGCTGGAATAATGAAAAGGCGAGAGAAAATTATTAAGCAATTTAATAAGTGTGAAAAAGGAAAACGCGTTCGGTCATCAAATTACAGTGGCATTGAAAGTGCTTTGCTCGATTGGTTTAAACAACAACAAACAATGTACTTGTGAGTGGGCCGATGCTTCAGGTAAAGGCTGATGCTTTCGCTGTGATTTTGAAGAAGAATTTTAAGTGTAATGCTTCCTGGGTTCAACGTTTTCGAGCTCGCCACAATATTGTCCATGGAAAAATTTCAGGTGAGTCAGCAGTTGTGGACAGATCAATTATAAATGACTGGGTTGAAAATGTGTGGCCTACACTCAGATTCGACTATAGCGATGATGAAATTTTTAATGCTGACGAGATGGGGTTATTTTTTAGACTTACACCTGATCACACGTTAAAGTTTAAAGGCGAGAAATGTTCCGGTGGTAAACTCTCAAAAGAGCGTGTTACAGTTCTTGTTGCAGCCAACATGTCCGGTTCCATAAAAAGGAAGCTTTTGGTGATAGGAAAAAGTAAAATGCCGCGCTGTTTTAAAAACGTGAAAAATCTCCCTGTTGATTATGATTTCAATAAAAAAGCCTGGATGACGTCAGCTATTTTTGAAAAGAGTTTACTAAAATGGAACAGTGAACTTTTACAACAAAAGAAACACATAATTTTAATTGTCGACAACTGTCCGTCCCACCCCCAGTTTACAGGTTAAAACAAATTAAACTCGTTTTCCTGCCTCCAAATTGTAAGTCTGTACTGCAGCCCATGGACCAAGGAATTATAAGAAGTCTTAAAGCATGCTTTCGGAAAGAATTGGTGTACAAAATCATCGAAAAGAGAGAGAATAACGACGATACGAAAGTCAGTATTCTTGACGCTGTACTAATGATATCAAAGGCATGGGAATCTGTGCGGAAGGAAACAATCATCAACTGTTTTCGTTTTTCCGGCCTAACTTAAGACTTACAACCATCAGGAATCGCATACAACGATATTGCACAAACGCATTTGCAGGATGCCATTTCCCTTTT